CCTGCCCTGTATTTAATGCGAATTTTAATATGCATTTTATAGAAATACATTTTAATATATATCTTTTATAGAAAATAATACATTTTAATTTGTGTACTTGTGGAAATTTTTTACAATGTTTATGTATTTTAATTATTCTGTAACCCGCCTCCAGGCAGGAGAAGAGGCAGGGAAGAATTATTATTATTATTATTATTATTATTATTATTAGAAACACAACAAGATGAGTCCACAGCAGACAAGATCACTCTGCTGGCTGTTGTATTGGATCACACGTCAGACACTTCCCAAGTGGGTTGTTGTAGGTTTTTTCGGGCTATATGGCCATGTTCTAGAGGCATTCTCTCCTGACGTTTTGCCTGCATCTATGGCAAGCATCCTATGGCATAGATGCAGGCGAAACATCAGGAGAAAAGGCCTCTAGAACAGTGGTTCTCAACCTGTGGGTCCTCAGATGTTTTGGCCTACAACTCTCAGAAATCCCAGCCAGTTTTCCAGCTGTTAGGATTTCTGGGAGTTGAAGGCCAAAACATCTGGGGACCCACAGGTTGAGAACCACTGCTCTAGAACATGGCCATGTAGCCCAGAAAAACCTACAACAACCCAGTGATTCCGGCCATGAAAGCCTTCGACAATACACTTCCCAAGTGTCGAGGACTGTGTGATGTATTGGCGAATGATGCGTGCAGATCCAAGGAGGGTGGCCCTTTTCCAGCTGGCAGATGTTAATCTTGTCAGCGCCGATTGTGTTTAAGTGCAGGCCAAGGTCTTGAGGCACTGCACCCAGTGTGCCGATTACCACTAGGACCACCTTTACTGGTGTGTGCCAGAGTCTTTACAGTTCGATCTTTAAATCTTCATATCATGTAATCTTTTCCAGTTGTTTCTCTGCAATCCTGCTGTCACCTGGGATTGCGACATTGACAATCCATACTTGGTTTTTTAACACGATTGTGAGGCCAGGAATGTTGTGCTCTAGAACTCTGTCTGTCTGAATTCGGAAGTCCCAGAGTAGTTTGACGTATTCGTTTTCCACGACTGTTTAAGGCTTGTGATCCCACCAGTTCTTTGTGGCAGGCAGATGGGATTTGTGGCACAAGTTCCAATGGATCATCTGAGCAACGTTGTTGTGCATCTGCTTGTGGTCAGTCTGCGGGATCTTCTTGCAGCAGCTGAGGATGGGATCTATTGTTTTAATGTATTGTCGAAGGCTTTCATGGCTGGAATCACTCAGTTCTTGTGGGTTTTTTCAGGCTATATGGCCATGTTCTAGAGGCATTTCTCCTGACGTTTCGCCTGCATCTATGGCAAGCATCCTCACCTCTGAGGAAGCTTGCCATAGATGCAGGCGAAACGTCAGGAGAAATGCCTCTAGAACATGGCCATATAGCCCGAAAAAAACCCACAAGAACTGATCTATTGTTTTGCCTGCTTCCTTGCAGAGTCTACACTGTTCAAGGAGGCTGTTCAAGTCCTGAACCGTTGCCTGGCCGCTGTGTCGGACTGGATGAGGGTGAACAAATTGAAATTGAATCCAGATAAGACAGAGGTACTCCTGGTCAGTCGGAAGGCCGAACAGGGTATAGGGTTACAGCCTGTGCTGGACGGGGTTACACTCCCCCTGAAGGCACAGGTTCGCAGCTTGGGTGTGATCCTGGACTCATCGCTGAGCCTGGAGACCCAGGTTTCAGCGGTGGTCAGGGGCGCTTTTGCACAATTAAAACTTGTGCGCCAGCTGCGCCCGTACCTTGGGAACTCGGGACTTGGCCACGGTGGTCCACGCTCTGGTCACATCCCGGATTGACTACTGCAACGCGCTCTACGTGGGGTTGCCCTTGAAGACAGCCCGGAAGCTTCAGATGGTCCAGCGCTCGGCAGCCAGGTTGCTAACAGGGGCGGCACTCAGGGAGCACACCACTCCCCTGTTGAGCCAGCTCCACTGGCTGCCAATTCGCTACCGAGCTCAATTCAAGGTGCTGGCTTTGGCCTATAAAGCCCTAAACGGTTCTGGCCCCGCTTACCTCTCCGAACGCATTTCCGCCTACGAACCGACTAGAACATTAAGATCATCTGGGGAGGCCCTGCTCTCGATCCCGCCTGCGTCACAGGTGCGCTTGGCGGGGACGAGGGACAGGGCCTTCTCAGCGGTGGCCCCTCGGCTGTGGAATGCTTTGCCAGCGGACATCAGACAGGCACCTTCGTTGCTGGCATTTCGGAGAATGGTCAAGACCTGGCTCTATGAGCAAGCGTTTGGCTAAGTAATGCAACTAACTAAGGAAGATGGTAACTGAATATAGGAACGGCATAATGACTATGAGAATGGATCTGACTTTAATGGAGGCGTTGTATATGTTGTTTGTGGGTTGTCTGTCTGATGTTGATTGTTGTGGAGCGACTAGTCGTTCCGGTTTTTGTATCACTGTTGTTTTAATTGCACTGTGAACCGCATTGAGTCGCCTGTTAAAGGCTGAAATATGCGGTATAAAAGTGAAGCAAATAAAAAATAAAATAAATAAATCTGTTGTCGACTTTTCAATTCTGGCTTGGATGGCCTTGGTTCGAATGTCTTGTTCTTGGGCTGCCAGGATCAGGCCCTCCTGTGTCTCCTTTTTCAGAGTCCCATTTGTGAGCCACAGCCATGTTTCTTCTTTGTCCATTTGGCTCTCAATCTTACCCAGGGTCTGTCCATGGAGAGAGAGCCTTCTTTGGCCAGTTTTCTCTTCTGCTCTGGATTGTGTTTATTACGGTATTCCCTCTTAGCATTTGAAGCAGATTATTATTATTATTATTATTATTATTATTATTATTATTATTATTATTATTATTATTATTTGCCCATTAGGCATTAGGCAAAAGCAGGCCCACACTTTCCATTGAAATACTAATAAGTTTATATTTTAATTATTGTATTGTTTTAAGTATTTTTTTGCACTACAAATAAGATATGTGCAGTGTTTTTTTTCCTTTCAAATTCATGTTTTTTTTTCAAATTATAATCCATCCCACTAACAGTTTGAGGGACTGTGACCTGGCCCTCGGTTTAAAAAGTTTGAGGACCCCTGGCTTAGATGGTCATCTCTGGGCACACTTCGTGACGTCCCTTTTGCTCTCATTCTTTTCTGTGGGATTTCTGCGATGCTTTATCAAATCAGGAAACAGCCAGTATCACCTTACTTTCAGGGAAAGGGTTCCAAAGCACACAATTTCAAGGTTGCCAAATGAGGGGAGAACAATGGCTCCACAGTCGTCAAAGGCTCTGGTGTGGACGCAGCTGGAGTCCAGATGGAGCAAAGAACAACAAGAGAATGGGACAGAAAGGAGAGAAGCAAGGCCTGCAGACTTTCTCTGCATCTGTGTGGAGCAAGCTGTGGTCCTCCTTCAGCTCTGTTGACATTGGAGCTCCTGCCTTCACCCTTCAACCTTCAGCTTCTTTTCAGGAACTGAGCCGCTCGCTCACTGCCTTTGAACTGCAAAGCAAGCACAGTTCCCACCAGAATGGTGCAAAACGGTGCAAACAAACAAACCCCTCTGGAGCATTAAACATTTCCCAGCCAGGCCTCTCCCATAGTGACCTAGTGATCAAACAGGGATTGCCCCAACCTTATTCTCCATCTTCATCGCTATGATACTTCACCTTGTTGACGGGAAGCTTCCCACCGGAGTGGAAATCATCTATTGGACAGATGGCAAGCTATTCAACCTCAGCAGACTGAAAGCCAAAACCACAGTTACAACAACATTTATTTATTTATTTATTTCGTATGTTTCTACCCCGCCCTTCTCAACCCCCGAGGGGGGACTCAGGGCGGCTTACAAAATGGCACAATTCGATGCCTACACAATAACACAATAAACGTATAAAAACAGCAGTTAAACGGTTAAACAATTAAAACAATAATATATATCACAGTCAATAGCCAATCTCAAGCACAGCGTTTGCCAACTCAGAGTCCATACTGCGTTCCACATTGTCTATTCCTATCCGTCGTCGCAGTCCTTTATTCATCTGCCAGATTGCCCAAATGCCTGGTTCCACATCCATGTTTTTAATTTCTTTCTAAAGGATGTCGCTGATCTAATTTCCCCGGGGAATGAATTCCATAGGTGAGGGGCCACCACTGAGAAGGCCCTGCTCCTCGTCCCCACCAATCTCACTTGTGACAGAGGCGGGGCCGAGAGCAGGGCCTCCCCAGATGATCTCAAACTCCGAGATGGGACGTAGAGGGAGATACATTCGGACAGATACGCTGGGCCGGAACCGTATAGGGTTTTGTAGGTTAAAACCAGCACTTTGAATTGTGCTCGGAACTGGATCGGCAGCCAGTGGAGCTGACATAGCAGGGGGGTGGTATGCTCCCTGTATGACGCTCCGGTGAGTAATCTGGCTGCCGCCCGCTGGACTAATTGAAGTTTCCGAACAGTCTTCAAAGGCAACCCCACGTAGAGTGCATTGCAGTAATCTATCCGGGATGTAACAAGAGCGTGGACCACCGTGGCCAGATCTACATCTGTTATAGAACTCCAGTATGCTGATGATAACGTCGTCTGTGCGCATTCAGAAGAAGACCTACAAGCCACTCTAAACACCTTTGTGTCCTGGCATTGAACGTTTGGCATATATATACTGTGCTCCGCCCTGAGTCCCCTTTGGAGTGAGAAGGGCAGAATATAAATGTTTTAAATAAATAAATAAAATAAGAAGCATACAAGAAGCTCGGCTTGTCACTGAACATCGAGAAAACCAAAGTGCTGTTCCAGCAGTCACCAGCTAACCCCTCTCCAAGGGCAGAGATACAGCTGAATGGTGTAACATTAGAAAATGTGGACCATTTCTGCTACCTTGGCAGCCACCTCTCCACCAAAGTCAACATCGACACTGAAATGCAACACCGCCTGAGCTCTGCGAGTGCAGCATTCTTCCTAATGAAGCAGAGAGTGTTTGAGGACCAGGACATCCGTAGGGAGACCAAGGGGCTTGTTTATAAAGCTATTCCCCTCCCAACCCTGCTCTATGCCTACAGCCGCACCTTCATTCCATTTAAGGAAAGCATAGGATAGAAAGAAAGGCACTCTTGAGACCAAGTTAGAAAAATATATCCTCTCAAGTTTTATTCTGGTGACTAAGAACGTTGCAGGAAGAGACCCAGCATGGTCTGGTAGGCCTTGTGTTTGGAGCCTGCAGAGCAGGTGGGTGGTGGTGAGGTCTCCTCTGCAATGAGACGGAGGCTGCCCATCGCTTGGGGCTCGGGGACCAGGGTGGGAAGGCTTGCTCTGGGCGTCCCCTTCAGCCCCTTCTTCCGCCCCAGACCGGGAAGCAGCAACACCAGCGTGGTCACTGTTGAAGAGAGAGGGGCGCCCACCTCCCAGAAGGCCTCAGGGAAAGGCAGCAGAAGAATCGGGACACGGCTCAGATCCTGATATGGAAAGTGCTGTTAAAAGGGAAGACATCACAATTACACGCGAGCATTTGCAGCCAATTTTCAGGCAAGCAAGCCTCAATAAGAACAAGAATGATGGGGTGAAAATACCAGGTGCTCAACATCACGGTTGCTCAGAATATTCTGCAGGCAATCTATATCAATAAAAATGTCGTGTTGGTTTGTGGGATTAACATAACTCAAAAACGACTGGACGAAGTAAGACCAATTTGGACACAATACACCTAATAGGCCAACAAGTGACCATCACTCATAAAAACACTGGAAAACACAACAGAAGAGACTTAAAAAGCCAAAACAGAAAAACAAAAAATGCATTACAATGCATGCACAAAACCACATATATACACAAACACACAAACGTATACACACATATACACATATAACACATACAATTCACATATACACAGACTGGGCCACAGCAACGCGTGGCAGGGGACAGCTAGTTTAGTATAAGGAGGAAATGGCTGAAAGGCCAGGCAGGTCAAGGCAGCCAGACAGCGAGGCTACCATGAGCGGTGCACAGCCCGTGCAGGACAAGCCAGGGAATCATAGTTGGAATACATCACATGGGCTATCCGGTCCAACCTACTTCTGCCAGGCAGGAAAAGCACAACCAAAGCCCTCCCAACTGCAAAACTGTAGGATCTATATAGTAATATTAAATAACCACTCACAAGTCGTTTTTGCTTTGAAATGGATATATTGCTTGTATCTCTGCAGCAAAGAAAAACACTACTGATTTTTTCCCACCACCACTTCCTTTTATACACCTTTCCTGCCCAACTCCCCCTCTTCTCAGTTTCCTTATCAGAACTTGTTGCTTCACAAGTTCCATAACTTGTCAATCTAGGACTCTCTGGACCCTCCTCCTCCTCTTCCTCCTCCTCCTCCTCCTCCTCCATTGGAGCGGGCCTTCCAGCCCAGAAGAGAGTTCCCTGGCCTCTCTTACCTGAGGAAGTCCGGGGCTCGGATAATCATGTGCTGGAAATCTTCCAGGGACAGTTTGCCGTCGTTGTCCAGGTCGGCTTCATCGATCACCTTGTTGCACACCAGGCACACCTCCTCAGGTGTCAGCTCTTTGCGTGTCAGCTTGTTCACAGTTTTCTCCAAGTCAAGTTTGCAAATGTAGTCGTCGTTGTTGAAGTCTGCTGGGGAAAAGAGTCACTGGGGCCCTGAGGGGTGGTCAAGGGGCGCTGGGCTTCTTCTGGCCTCATCTTTGTGACTCACTCTCCAGCACATCTCCTTCCCCCAATGTGGACTCGTAATGCCCAAGCGACGCAGGTAGCCCCTCACCTGCCTGGCTTCTCTGGGCTCTCCAAACAGGATGGATTCCACTTCACACACAAAAGTGGCCCTGAGAACTCCCTCCCTCAGCAACAGAGATTGCCAGGCATCGGAGGCCCCTGGTGACCCCAAGATGCACTGTGCCCCCACCTCAGAGCCCACTCCCATGGGCAGGTGAAGGGGCACCTGTGGGGAAAGCCTGGCTTGCATGCTGTTCCTAGAGGAAGGGGCTTGGGCGCTCCTCCCACGACCCCCTTCCCGCTCCCTCCTCAGCCAGGGCATCCCCAAGGAGACTCACCATAGATTTTGAAGGCATAGTAGGCCTTGAGGTCACGAGGGGCCATTTCGCTCATCACTGAGAACATGTCCAAGAAGTCGTCTAAGGTCATGTTTCCCTCGCCATCCTCAGAAAACACCTCAGCGATCCGTTGGCGGAAGGGGTTGTCCTGAGAAAAGAGGAGGTGAGTAGGAACCAGCCTCCTCCCCACACATCGGCCTTCTCCAGGGCTGGGGAGTCCTTTCTGAAGAAGACATGTGCTGCAAGTGTGCAAGTCCTGCTTGATGCTCTGGGCATGAAGAAGGCCACTTGTGACCTCGGGTGGCACCAGAGCAAGAAGACTGGTAGAATGTCCCCCCCCCGTCCCCCCCACAAACTTCCCACAGTGGTTTCCCTATAATACCCCCAGGCTTAGAAACTGCCAAGCCCATTGTGGAACAACCAAATCAATGAGTTGCTGTGGCAGAGCTGTAATCAGAAGACAAAGAGTGACTTGGGAGAGGCCTCCTCTGCTTCTGGCCGAGGACACTGAGGGAGGACCTGCCAGTGGCATCCTGTTTGGGAATTGTGGTGCTCTAAGGTGGATGTATCACAGTTCACTTTTTGGTTGTTGCTGTGGCTGGGGTTCCTACTGATTGCGCAATGGCCAAATTCTTCTCCCTGCCCCCTCCCAACATCGCCATATCTTGGATGGAGAGCAGGGGAGCTTCAGTGAGGAGGCATCTGCTGTCTCCCTGTAAAAGGACACTGAGCAGTGACATCGAGTTCAGGGTCCTGTCGGGGTCTGCAGTACGGACGAAGAGGTGTCAGCCCAGCATCTGAGTCAGTAGCAAGCGGGGAATGACCACAGTTGTGGCCTGACACTGAGGAAGCTCCCCCTGCAGTGGAGGACCAAGGGAGGGGGGGGGGGTCCTGAGCTAACTTGGGGTCAGGAGAGCAATGAGTCAAGTGAAGTATCTCCAGAAAACTGCAACTGAGGACTCCTGCTATTCAGCCGTGCAGATCTGCCTGGCTGGCACAGAGAAGGGCCAACAGGTGGGAGCCCTTGTGCTGTGGGGTATAAAGAGTTCCAGTTTGGATGGGGTCTTTTGCTGGAAGCAACGTTTGGAACCTGCTAGTACAGCTTGGAGCTCTGTCTGCTGACCTCATGTGTATCTTCGTGTTTGGAACCTTGGCTTTGGAACTTTGGATGACCCATAGACTTGGATGATTGGACGAGGAAATAATTATTGACTACGACTTCTGAAATGTCCCTGCATAGTTCGCTGCATTAATCGGCATTGGCTTGGACTCCGGAGTGGCTGGCAATGAAAGCTGTGAGTGGCTGTTTATATTTAGAGATGCTGGGCATAGAATCCTAGGATCCTAGAGTTGGAAGAGCCCTAGTGGGCCATCCAGTCCAACCCCATAATGCCTACCTCACACTGTGAGGCTGAGACCTTTCTCCCACTGAGGTTTTCCTCAGACTGACAGATACTAAGCTACAGGCACACCTGCTTATATAGAACTGCAGCTTTTCATAGAATCCTAGAGTTGGAAGAGATCCAATCCAACCCCATAATGCCTACCTCACAGTGTGAGGCCTTCTCACAGACTGAGACTTTTCTCCCACTGAGGTTTACCTCAGACTGACAGCTCCTAAGCTACAGCACATCTGCTTATATAGAACTGCAGCTTTTCATAGAATCCTAGAAGAGTTGGAAGAGACCTGGTGGGCCATCCAGTCCAACCCCATAATGCCTACCTCACACTGTGAGGCCTTCTCACAGACTGAGACCTTTCTCCCACTGAGGTTTACCTCAGACCGACAGCTACTAAGCTACAAGCACACCTGCTTATATAGAACAGCAGCTTTTCATAGAATCCTGGAGTTGGAAGACACCTGGTGGGCCACCATCCAGTTCAACCCCATTCTACCAAGAAGCAGGAAAATTGCATTCAAAGCACCCCCGACAGATGGCCATCCAACCTCTGCTTCAAAGCCTCCAAAGAAGAAGCCTCCACCACACTCTGGGGCAGAGAGTTCCACTGTTGAACAGCTGCTCTCCTTACAGTCAGGAAGTTCTTCCCCATGTTCAGTTGGAATCTCCTTTCCTGTAGTTTGAAGTCATTTCTCCATTGTGTCCTAGTCTCCAAGGCAGCAGAAAACAAGCTTGCTTCCTCCTCCCTGTGACTTCCCTGGTCTCACATATGTATACATGGCCCTCATCCTGTCTCCTCTCAGCCTTCTCTTGAAGCAGGGCTAGGACAGGTCCTCCAGAAACTCTTCCAAGGCCACACACAGTCAAGGAAATAGCCAAAGACCACTGCTACTCAGACCAGTGAGGCAAGATGACCTCTTCCTCACCCCCATCTTGCAGACATCAGCTCTCTGCCTCAGAAGTGAAGTCTTGATAGCCCTCATGATGGGAAAGATCAGTAGAGGGTTCAGAAAGTGTGCAGGGTAGCCCATGAGTCCTGCCCCCTTGCCCCCTCTCGGCTTGCCCTGACCCCATCTTTGAAGTTTAGAGTGATGCCCTCAGGGTTTCTAGCCCCCTTCCTGGAGTTGTCCACGTCCTCTGTTCTCTCAGAAGGAGCCCGGCCTTGCCAGAGGAAGCCTCCTCTCTCTTAAGGAAGAACGCTCATTGTAACTTCAGCTGCTGGGTTTGCTCCTTCAGAGTGGCATCTCCTGGTTCCTCTGGAGAGGCCATGGCTCTGCCGGCATAGGCCTCTTCCTCTTTTCCAGCCCTTCCTGTGGCCATCACCCCCCACACCTCCTTTTCTTCCTCAGCCAGGCAACACCAGGGTCAGCAAAGGGACCCACAGAACAGAGGCCTCTCTCTCTCCACCAGCTGGGAGGCGGCTGCCCCGACTGGAGCCCTTCTTGCTTCTCTTCCAGGCTTCCCGCTGTTCCTGGCCCCTGGCCCCTGGAAGAGGTTCAGGAAGGCTCTGGCTTCTAGGAGTACCTTGCCAGCGCCCATTGTCCACCTCCAGGCATTGTCCGGCCTCAGCCAATTAGCAGAGGATCCATTATTCACAAGGATGCCCGCCCGCCCATGCCCGGCCTCTGCCTGCTGCTCCTTCCTTGGCGTACCTTCAGCTCGGGCATGCTGCCAATGAGCTCGTAGGGGAGCTTCACCTCCGGCTTCTTGGTGTAATCGAGTGGGACCAGCTGTGGGGCCAAGTCGCGGTACCTGTCAAACAACCTGCAGCACAAGGAAGGAAAGCACGGAATGGCGCCAGGAGAGGAGGGCCATCCTCAGAGGGGAGAAGGGGGGACAGTGGCTAATGGGACACAGGGGTAGGGAGGGGGGCTGTTGGGTTTCATCCCTGGACTCCACAAGTCTCTTGCGTCATCAAGTCCCCAGCCCTCAATGAGCAGTTAGAGATAGGATTTGCTGGGGGATGCCTCCCGCACCACATTCCTGTGCATGTTTTCCCCAGAAAGGACTTTGCCTTTCCTCTTCCTCCTCCTCCTTGCCACTGTCTCCTCCACCTTTGAAGGTGTAGCAATGGAATCTCTGTGAGGGAACTTCCTTTTTAAAGGTATTTTTATTGCCCTGGGGTTCGCCACTATTGTCTCTTCTGCCTTTTCTTCCTTCCAGTGAGGACGCATTTTGCCTCTCTCTCTAGGCAAAATGTAGCTGCATGGACTTTTTACTCTTTTACCTTTCTTAGAAGATGAGACTGAGTAAGCTAGTGTGCTCCAAGACCATTTCTATCTAGAATGAGGGAACTTCCTTTTTAAAGGTATTTTTATTGCCCTGGGCTTGGCCGTGTGGCCATTCACCACCATTGTCTCTTCTGCCTTTCCTTCCAGTGAGGATGCACATTTTGCCTCTCTCTTTAGGCAAAATGTAGCTGAATGAATTTTTTAAAAACCTTTTATCATTTTACCTTTCTTAGAAGATTTTTTGTTGTGTCAGGAGTGACTTGAGAAACTGCAAGTCGCTCCTGTTGTGAGAGAATTGGCTGTCTGCAAGGACGTTGCCCAGGGGATGCCTGGATGATTTGATGTTTTTATCATCCTTATGGGAGGCTTCTCTCATGTCCCCGCATGAGGAGCTGGAGCTGATAGAGGGAGCTCATCCGCGCTCTCCCCGGATTTGAACCTGTGACCTGTCGGTCTTCAGTCCTGCCGGCATGGGGTTTAACCCACTGTGCCACTGGGGGCTCCTTTCTTAGAAGCTGAGACTTAGTAAGCTAGTTCACTCCAAGAGAATGTTTTTTTTTACTTCAATAAATATTTTTGAACCTAAACTTCTGACTCTGCAATCCTGTGCCATCCTATGGAGTAAAAGCTTACCCCAACACATCACATGTGAGTTTCTGCTGGTTATGAAGTGTATTTCAGGTACTCTGCTAAATTTTATTTATTTATTTATTTAATAATCAATTTTAGGTTCGGAGTGGTTTACAATATACACATGCGATACATTACATTTAAAATAAATAAAAAAACGCAATCATCAAGATTCAAATGCCAGCTTAAATAAATAAGTTTTACAAGCTCTACGAAAAGATAGTAAATCTCGGAGTGCTCGTGTTTCTGCTGGCAAGGCATTCCACAGATAAGGAGCCACCACCGTGAATGCTCTACGCCTAGTAGACATCAGACGAAAGGTCCTAAAATTGGGAACTTCAAGGAGATTCTGATCATCTGAATGGAGTGATCTCGGGGGTTGGTAGGGGGTGAGACGGTCCCTCAGGTATTCCGGCCCCAGGCCATAGAAGGCCTTGAAGGTAAGAACCAGCACTTTGAAGGTGATCCAATACTCAATCAGCAACCAGTGCGGTTGCTGCAAGATTGGAGTGAGGTGACTCCTCGCTGCGAGAAGCCGGGCGGCAGCATTTTGCACTAGTTTAAGTTTCCAGATCACTGATAAAGGCAGGCCTATGTAGAGGGTGTTACAGTAGTCCAGCCTTGAGATGACCGTCGCCTGGATCACCGTGGCCAGGTCGTCCCTGGACAGATAGGGAGCCAGACGCCTAGCCTGACGCAGATGGAAAAATGCGACTCTGCCTCCATCGTCAGCAGAAGGTCTCAAAGGACTCCCAGACTCTTTACCAAAGATGACGGGCATAATGTCACGCCATCCAGGGCAGAATCGCCCCAACTGAGGGTTATTCTGGAGCCCAACAGCTCAATTCCCAAAGAGGGGCCATGTGTGTTAGTGTTCTGTTCAGCGCTAAAGAAACACGGTCCTCCCACGCTCTGCAATGTCAGCCGGAAGGGGGCAATGGGACCCCGTGGTATTAAGACAGCCCTCTACTTAGAATCATGGAATCCTTGAGTTGGAAGAGACCTGGTGGGCCATCCAGTCCAACCCCATTCTGCCAAGAAGCAGGATCTTTCTCCATCAGGACCTCACCCAACAGCCAAAGGGACCCTGTGGAGGCACCCCAAGAGCCCAGGTGAAGTTGGGGTCCCTCTTTCCCTCCCTCCCTCCCTCAAATGCTGGCAAAGGGGGGCAGGAGCAGAGGTGCAAGCGGTCCCCTGGGTGGGGAGCTCAAGGGTAGGGCTGGCTCTCTTTGGGACGGGTGTCCAGAGGTGGCCCTAAGTAATTTTCAACGGTAAGCAAACAGTATTTTGGCGCCCCCCCCC